TTGTGGCTAGCCTGCTCTAAACAGAGACTCAGTTTCAAAAACAAAACAAATCAGGCATGGTGGCTCAAGACTGTTTGTCATCCCAGCTGTTGGGATGCCAAGGCTGTGGGTTACAGAGTTCCAGGCCAGCCTGGACTACATGGCAAGACCCTGTCTCTAAATGAATTACAGATAGATCGGCAGATGATAATCAATAGATGTTTATTTATTTATTTATTTATTTATTTATTTATTTATTTATTTATTGGTTATTTCAAGACAGGGTTTCTCTGTGTAGCCCTAGCTGTCCTGGAACCTGCTCTGTAGACCAGGCTGTCCTCAAACTCACAGAGATCTGCTTACCTCTCTGCCTTCTAAGTGCTAGGATTAAAGGTACCTGCCACTATCACCTGTCTCTCCCAATTTTTAAATGTCTGAGATTCTATGCAACTCAAACAGTATGTCCACAGGCACAGGAGCCTAGGCCAGGACACCTCTGAGGTTAAATACCTCGGCCTGCTCCCGACCTCTTGGCTGTGGATGTTCCCAGTTTTCCAGAACAGTAGTGTCTGAATGTGACTAGACTGGGCAGTCTGAACTCTGGACTCCAACTCTGGGGACAGTGCACTGCTGAAGTGATGGGACAAACCCTCAACTATCTTGATCAGACAACTGTAACCCCACTAATCCTTCTCCCTCAGGCAGACACCCCAGGAGAACTAACAACCAGGGGCTAAGTATCAGAGGGGCTTTCCTCAGGCAGCACAAGCTCCTTTCTGAGCCTCCTTTCTCCCGCCTTCTCCCCCCTCCCTCTTCTTCCATCTCCTTCCTCTCTCCCTCTTCCCTTCCTATTATTGTGATCACCAGAGCACAGGCGCCATGACAGGCATGGAGGTAGAGGTTAAGGATCCAGAGTCCATTCTCTGCTTCTCCCATGGAATTTGGAGATCAAACTTGGGTCCTCAAGGCTTGTATAGGAAGCACTTTCACCCCCTGAATCATCTCCCCTTGATTTATCTTTCAATTACATTTAAAATGTTTTAAAATTCATTTCTTATAAAAGTGATCAGGTTTACTGTCAGAAATGTGGGGATGTATACAAGGGTCCAGAGGAGAAAACAAAAATCACCTCCCATTTTAACTAGAAGAATTCTGAGCGAAGGTCCCTCATTTAATGGGAGGGAGGCCAGGGAAGGCTTCCCCACCTCTAAGTTGCATTATCCAGAGCCTGGCCACTAGGAGGTGACTTGGTGCTTGTCAGTGACAGATTCTCGGAAAGCGGTGCAGATGTAGCAAAGTCTTTAGTGAGGAGCCTCCCGTGCCCAGTGGTGCTGGTGGTTGGGGAGGAGCCAGGGCTTCTGGCTGAGATGGCCTGTGCCCTCTGCTGGCAGCTGGTGGACATGGCTTCAGGTAGTGGTTCAGGTCACTGGCTCTCAGAGGTCCTAGGATTCAGCCTCACCCAGAGTTTGTTCAGGATGCATTTTGAGGTCTAGCCCCTGAACTTTGTGTGACAGGGGATGGAACTTGGAGTGTTTTAGTGGACTATTTATTTCAGGCTGTTCCCACAAACGCTGCATTTGAGAACCACCTATTTATGTCAGCATGGGGCCAACACAGGCTTTTGAGAGTAAAGTGCCATCTCTGTTTGAGACAAAGCAATGGGGCTATGGGGTGGGTCTGGGGAGGGGAATGGAAGAACTAAGATGTATTAGTGCGGGTTTAGGGACCAGCCATGGTTCCCCAGGTAAAGAGCCTGTAGTCAAACCTGGTACCTTGAATCGACTCCTGTAGCCCACAGTGGAGGGAGGGAAGGGATTCCTCCTGTAAGTTCCTCTGACTTCTACACATTTGCTGTGACCTACCCCCTTCTGCCTCATCACAGAAAATAAATGTAAAAGGAAATTAAAAGTAAGTATACGTTCCAAGTCAAAGTCACTAAAGGTCCTGTCACCCTCAGGTCCATGTCCCCATCAACTCCAATGTATCCAGACTGCACCGCTAAGTAAGAGGACAGAGCGGCTTGCAGAAGATGCACACTTTAGACTTCTTGGACAGGGTATGTCTACGCCTGGGATGCTCACGAGAAGAAGTACTATAGACAGCAACTGCAGGTCTAGCCCAACCCAAGGAGGCCTGAGCTTGGATGGCAAGCAAGGGTCGAGGAGCCGAGACGGGAGAAAGCAGGCTGAGGAGCCGAGACGGGAGAAAGCAGGCCGAGGAGCCGAGACGGGAGAAAGCAGAACTGCACAGCCAGCTGAGGAAGGAAGGAGGCAAGAAAAGCGTGCTAGGTACCCTTAAGAGAATGAGGATCCCCAGGCTGTGTGTCAGCCAGAATCCATCCTGGTGGAACAGACAGGAAAAGCCCCCAGGAGACAATGGCTTCCCAGCCTGACTTGTTCTCGGAACACGCAGCTGTTGAAGGAATCTTTGAGCCTGGCTAGAACAAGCAGACACTTGTGGAGGAACTCTGACAAGAAACACAAGGTTTCAGGAGAAAGCAGACAGGCAGATGGGAGACGTCATGGTGAATAGGCTCCTTCTGCTCTCTGCCTGTCCTGGAGGCGGTCTGTTTAGACTTGTCTAAACCCCCCAACGTCGGCACTGTTACAAGATGCTCTGGTAGGACAACACACACTTCAGATCACATGCTCTGGCGATTACCTGACCTGGGTCAGTCAGCGATGCTGACCTGCTTTGATCAGCCATTGCTCTTTAGCAAAGGAGATTCCACCTCCAAGATCGGGCTCCCAGACATGGGGGAGGAGGGCAGATATCTTTGGTCTATTTAGCCAGTTCCACAGGCCAGTCAGAGCTACATGGTAAGACACTTATCTCAAACAAGAAGTAGGGTTTAGAGGTATTCACCTCCTTCACCCCTCAGCAGCTAAGCTCTTCATCCTAAAATTCCAAAAGCAAGGGGACAACACTTTGATTCTTCAGGTTGGGAATGTCACTCAGGGTGGGGCTACACAGCAGACCTTATTAAAATGCAGAATCACATGAGCGGGAGGGCCTGAGTCAATGAGGCTGAGTGGGGGCCCAGAGCTGCTGAACACATCTGAGTCCATGTCACACACACAGCTGGCAGGCCTGCCTTACAGCAAGCGACTCCTTGCTGACGTCAGGTCAGACCTTGCATAGAGGCCCTGGAGAGCTCAAGCACTCGGAATTTTGTCACAGAGTCAAGAAGCAACACTCAGACTCAGGGCAGGGCCAATGACAAAGCTGGGGACTGATGCCCCACCATGTGGTGGACATGGCCAGACCACAGGGCTCCTGGTGGACCACAGCAGAACAGGGCCACTAGACAGGGATGGTTTTCTTTGGCAAGTGCCTAAGAGCTGGGGGACCTCAGATTCCACACAAGTACCATGCGGACACCTTCATATTCAGGCCCTGAAGGCAAGCACAGGGAAAACCACAGAGGAAGCTGGCTAGCAACTCTAGCCATAGCAAGTTATTGACTCTTCCTCAATAAGGTAGAAGAGATGAAGGATGATTCTGGGCCTCAACTTTAGGCTTTCAAGTGCATATATGTGCAGGTGTGTGTGTGTGTGTGTGTGTGTGTGTGCGCGTGTGCACGTGCACGCGCGGAGGGTCAGGGATTAAAAAAAAAAATAGGAGAGAACCGGAGGAGCATTTACCACAGCCCAGCCAGCCAGGCACTTCAGGTCTAAGACCCTTAACCATGAGTGAGCCTGGCTCCCACCCTTCCCCCAGTTCATCCTGAAAACAAGCTTAGCTAGCTCACCTCTTGGGCAGTCTGGGTTATATCTTAGTTCCCGCCATGTAATCTGAATCATTTGTTTCTTTGAAACAGGATTTTACAATACAGCTGGCCTCTAACTCACCGCATGTGGGCCTGCCATCCTCCTCAGCACCAGGTCACAGGCAGCAATCAGATGGCAGCTGTTCTGGGTGGCATGGGGCAAGGGGATGACAGGGGGAAGGACAGCCCCCCACCCCCCACAGGTTTGAGCAACAGCAACTGTTCCTTCTCACTTTTAGGATGTCTTGGAAGGATTGCCGGGGCGAGGAGGGGCATGGAATGGCCATTTGGAGGATGTCAACCAAGAGGGTTCTCAGCCAGTCACAACACACTCAGTGCATCCTTCCTGTAAAAACTGAACCCTCTAGAATGGCAAACACCGCTTTACGACATGTAATAAATCAGAGATCCTAGGACATCAGGCCACTTTAGGATAGGCAGACAAGACAACTGGTGATTACTAGCAGTGAAGACCATGCCAACGAGAGCACTGTGAGCAGAAACACTTTCAGGGGAGGCAAAGGCCAGCCAAGCCCAGGGGGCTTCCTGGGGGGACTCTGCTTATAGTAGTTAAGTGTGGTATACCTAAAAACCTTAACGGCCAAGATTTAGATGCCTATCCGGAGAGGCAACAAGGACAGGAGATGAGATGCAAGAGCAGAATTCTCTAGAAACTTGAGCCAAGATCAACGGTAATAATGACAAGATGGGAGAGCATGGGCCAGAGGCCGTTGGTTCTCAGATGAAAACAAAGCTTTACAGCGAGCAGAGCATGCAGGGGTGGCGGTGGGGTTGTGGCGGAAACGCTCACCTTGGAGGCCAGTTAAGCATCCACAGCAGGGGAAAACTAACAGGGCACTGGTCACTAAGTAGCCAAAGTAGACTCTAGAAAGGGGAGAGGGCAGAGTGGCATGAAGAGACCTTGCTCTCAGGCAGTCATCCCTAGGCCCACTCTGGCTGGAGGCTTGGGAAACGAGGCTGCACTGAAGACGCCTTTGGCTTGGATGTCAGAGAACGGGAGTAGGGAAGGTGGGTGAGGGTGGATGTGTCTTAAGTTTAGAAACCAAACCAGCAGGCGCTCCTGGATGTGCACCTCTCTAACCCTGCGCCTGTTCCCTGCCAGTGCCACGTGTGCAGCCACTACCCACCCTGGGGCTGAGACGAGCTGAAAACAACTGGCCACCATCGCAGACCCAGCAGAGGCACCTACATCACTGTGTCCTCCAGGGATGTTAAAAAGGCAGGAAACTAGTTTTATCAGTAAGAAAATGTTTATTCTCTTGAACCCCACAGGGGAAAAAAAAGAATGCAGCCAAGACCAAGTTTAACGAAAACAGTGTCCCAAAGGCAGCAGAATGGGGGAAACCTCATCAACATAGTGACAATTTTCCATGTTTTAGCACAAAGATGGGGAAAAAAAAAAACTATGACAATTCTGAGTAACACTTTCATGGTGACATTTACACAAGATGATTCAGAAATGCAAATGGCAGCAACATGCACACCTGGCTAAAGCTAGAAGTTTGTTTTACTCCAAAATAAGATCTGTGATTAAAAGGATGATTCTCTGTAATACTTCTAATTTTACTGACTGGTTTGTCCTACCTAATTTGCTTTAAATGAGATATACATGCCAATCAACAGGAAATTTTAGAGCCATGTCCTTCCAGAACACACAGCATGGAAGCAAAGCCTATCGATTTGGTTTCTTAATTTTCCCAGCTTTCAAAACGCAACTCTGCTTTGCCCCTCCTCTCCCCTGCCCTCCCGCTCCCTGATTCTTAACACTCTCTCAAAGGTCTGTGCAGATACTTTCTACCAACGTATAATACACAGTTGAACCAGTATCTTTCTGCAGAGTTTAAGTCTTCAAAACAAACAAACAAAAAAAACCAACAACCACTCCTCCTTGGCACAAGAGCTGAGGAACTGCAGGCACCTGTAAACCATCAAACACAAGATGAGGAGGGTGAAGAAAGCAGCAAATGACACGTGGGAGCTGCACCTAGACACAGCTTTGATTGATTAGCCAATCTTAGGCCTCTCTCCTGCCCAGCAGGTTGCCTCCTAAGGTGCTTCGCTGGCAGCAAGCACAGAACTCTGTGTGTGTGCTTCCCGTGGAAAAAATCCCCAAGTGGTGGCGTGGTGACCAGCAGCCCAACCACCTACCACTGTACAACGAGATCAGCAGTGAACTCGACAAACAGAAGACAGATGACGGAAAGGGGATGGATGGGGGAGGGGATAGAGTGGAAAATGATCAAGTTTCCTCTTGAAATGTCTTTTAACAGGGTAATGCAAAGACTGCTCTGGATGTGCTCTAGAGCTGACAGCGATGGAAATGTCAATACTCCACACACACGGTCACACGCTTGCAAGCCAGCCTCGCCCCTAAGTCTCTCAGCTTAAGTGACACTCTCTCAATCTGTCTGGTCCTTAGAGGGGCAATCACTCTTTTCTCTGTAATGGAAATAATCATCTTTAATGCAGCTATGGAATCAGAGCTGTCAGGCTGTTTAGCCTCTCACGCTCTATAGAAACTAAGCTTTTGTTGTCATCTGTGAATACAACGTGCAATTTTCTTGCTTATTTAAGAACAAAATAGAGTTGAAAAGCAAAAAACTCTGCTTTTTTTTTTCTTCAAGAGGAAACTGTAAAAATACATAAAAAGGCAAAATTGGCTACTTGAAATCCAAGAATGGTTTTAATGTGTTGGCCAAGAAAAATAAACTGCAAAGTCCTGTGAGGTCTTCTAAAAACTTCCAAGAACAACTGATGGGCGGTTCTAATCAGACTTGGATGTTATTTCCCCCCTTTAAAAACGACAACATATACAGTCCCACAAAACACACTATCAACTTTTTTATCTTGACTGCCAGAGACGCTGCTTTTCGAAGCCTTCTGGTTCCAAATGTTGGGCAAGCACACAGTTGGCCTTCATTTCTTCAGGGGCTGGTAGACAGAGGCATTAGGATCAAGTCCAGAGGGGCTGGTCTCCACAAACTTGGAAGAGTAGTGGGGGGACACGGGGCTCAGGGGACTGGTGGTGGCACTGTATGTTATGCTGGGCATGACGGCCATAACTTCGGCTATCTTCTGTTTTAGGTCCTTGATTTCCTGGTCTTTCTGAAGGATTTGCCCTGCAAGATCAAAGACCTACCATTAGTGAGGAGGGAGAGTTCCCATGACAACCCCCAGGCCAGCCCTAGCTCAGCATTTGGGAAGAGCAGGCAAACTTCCTGTTAGGTACCCAACATCGGGGCATTTTCAGGCACTGTGGTCCACCTGCTACTCTTTGTCATTTTTCCTTTCTAACTATGGAAAATGCTGACTCACTCTAAGCTTGTGGGGTACAAGAAAGAGGCAGTGACAGAGCAGCCAGAGGGGCAGGTTTTACAGCTCTACCTCCTGAGCTGGGCTTCCCTTCTGGAAGACTGGGTTCTGAGTGTTAAACCAAGGAGCATAGAACCAGGACCTTCCATCCATCACAGCAGGTTCTCTGACAGAAAACAGATGACGTTCTGGGACTGGTGCCCAGCTTGCTGGCACAATGCCCTCTGACCTTGCCCAAAACTCAATTGACTACTTCAGTACAAGCCAACTTAGCCCTTCATGCCCGTGTCTCAGTTTGAAGCTGAGGTTTCCTGATCAATGTCAATGTATGAGCCCTAGATTCTTAACACATCCCAAGTTTTCCCTTTCATTCCATATCTCTCTAATTACAGCCACTCAGCCAGAGAGCAGGCGCTGTTTCCATGATGGGCAGATGCAGATGGATCTTTTCTCAGTGTACAGATCCCGGCAAAGAGGGCTAGTTAAGCAGAGGTGTCATTCCTCAGTGCTAAGCCAGACAGGAAAAGGACCAGTAGGTGAGATGCTCAATGTCAAGGCAGGATCCCTGGAAACCTTTTCAAGCACCGGTCTCGGAGCCCACAGACATGGTAGCCCCCAGGCCTCTTAGGTGGTTTTTACCAACTCCTTAGCTTCTCTATTTTCTAAAAACATCCAGGCAAGGCTCAAGTTCCCAGTGACTGATGGCTGCGCCTCACTTGGGTGTCTGAGGAGCACCTACCAATCAGTGCCCCAGACCACAGGCCCTCCTTCCTCATGCCCCAGACCCTCTGTGCTCTTCTGCCTTGGTTCTCCTACCTGATCCTCGTGATCTTTCAAGTGCCTTAGCTCTTCTCCAGACACCGTCCTCCCTCACCCTGCATTCCTTCTAAACAGGAGACAACACCAGTTTCTGGACTGGCCGCTGCCTCTGCTCCACTCTCCTTGTCTCTCATGCTGCCATTGAAGAGCCGCTCTCCCTGAAGACCTGGGGACTGATGCTCTTCAGTATGCTACATTCACAGTCCCTTTTAACTTCCCCTCTTCTTCCACGGCCTCCTGGTCTAGGGTTACCAGATTACTGGCCTGGACAGCCTCAGTTGCTTTCTCTCCCCAGTCTGGACTGTCCCCCCATGGACGCTGCTCCTCCTCACCGAGCTCTGCTCTCAGGCGGCATCCCATGAGCTGTTCACTCCTGCCTGCACCACATGCTCTCCAGTCTCCCATTCCACCATCCTTTCTCCCTGGCCTGCCCTGGTGTAGTAGTTATTCTCAAAATATAGCCAGCCTTCGTAGGGTCCACAGCACAGAAAAGCACCAGAGCATCACTGCCTTCTGTAGTAAGCACAGTGAAGCCTTTGGTGAATCCTGCGTCCAGTATAAACTCTCACAAGATGAATGGTTATTGCAGGAGAATGCAAATATTTTCTAAATGTCAGAAAGTAAATAAATATGATAAATAAGATAATGACACTTTTCTTGTTATTTGAAAATAGTTATTTTCATAAAATGGCATTAATGTTAGTATGCGACATTTTCCTCATTTTAATTGTATTCCCAGATGTTTTAATTTATAAGAGAAAGAACAGCGGAGAGGAGATGGGAAGGGAAGACACGTCCTTGAATGGGAAGTGTTTGAGGTAGTCACAGCTATATAATCTATGTGAAACAAGTTCTCCCAGCATGCTCAGTAATCTTAAGAATCTGGGCCGCAATACCCCAGTAGACACTGGGCTTTCCAGGATGTCAGTTTCCAGAGCTTGGCTGCTTGGTGAATCCCTGCTCTAGAACCCTTTCCATGCACCAGGCCAGCCAGTGCAAAGGTTTCCTCAGTGTCCTAGTCGTTTAAGTGACTAATGAGTTTTGTGAGGAAAAATCCAATTTTCTTTTCATCAGGTCATGCCACCCTCTGCGAGGAATCTCCCACACTCCTCCATGCCAGTTAGAATGAAGTCTAAGCTTTTTCCACTGGACACTACTACAGAACCTGGCTGTTGCTATTCCTGTCTCACCTGGGCCAGCAGACCTGTGAGTCTCTTCCATGGCCACGGGCTTTGCCTTCATTCACTACTCCTGGCTTCAGACTGCTCAAAGGCTTCCCACTCAAGGACGTGTCTTTCCTTGCAGTCTCCTCCCCACTGTTCTCTCTCTTTCTTACAAATACCATAATGACTTGCTCACTGTCCCTGCTATGGTGTCTACTGGTTACCAGAGACACTAGCCGGTCCTAGCAATTCTCTGCTGAGTGGATAGCTTGTTCTCCAAGACTCCTCTGCTGCACTGTCCAAGACACTCCTAGCCTGTTGCCACTTGGGAGCGCCCTGTGCCTTCTGCAAGGAGGCTTCTTGACCCTCCGTCACACTCCCACTCCTCACTGCTCAAACACCAGCTCCTGTGATGTGACCCAGCTTCCTAGTCTGCTACAGACTCTGCCTTTCTGTCCCCACAGGGTGCATACACACAGTAAAGCTGCAGGTCTAGACTTCAACTCTGGCAACTTTTCTTGTCTCTAAGTCCACCACTTGATACACTCGCATTTCAAATACTCCTGTAGCATCAACTGATTTGACTCTAAATCTCAACACTAGTCAGGCACGAAATAGTGTAATAGTTCAGAGCTCTGAGGAGAGGTCCACTCTATGCATCACTGTAACCTCTAGGTCCTGCCATTCCACGTGGGCTGGTGCTTTCCTACCCTGGGCAATCTCGAGCTGCCGCTTTGCATCACCAAGTGCAGAGAACAGATCCAGCTTGATCCTTGTCTCTGCACTGAGGCTGTTCTCTAGGTGTTGTGTTTTGTCTTGCATGGCGGAGAGGGCTGACATCAATACCTCGGTGTCCTTCTCATTTTCTTTGTACTTCCGAAGCTCCTGTCAACAGCGTTGAGACAGTGATGTTATGGGGCAGTTTTAGCATCAATGTGTATAAACCGACTTCAACTCACAAAGTAAACTGCAGTCCTACTGACCTGGCTATTAGAACAGAGAACCCTAACGCCTTGTGTGTTTACACTTTGTTCTTAGAGAATGTAATGCCACGCCAAGATAAGACTCAGATCCTCAAATGTACCCAGTGGGCTGTGTGGAGTGCATGGCTGGAAAACAGTGGCATCTGATTCCAGATCTCTCTTGCAAGACTTAGAACAGAGACACCATTCTTCTTAGCTACTTGCAAACAGTGCCTTATGCTGTAGTCACATTTGTAAACATGTGCTCTAAAAGTTGTAAAAATGTTTGTTATTTTGATAAGGCAAACCACAGAAAAGCCCATTTATAATAGTTAATACCATCAGTAAGTACTGAACTTGGTTCTTTTTTTTTTTGTTTTTTTGACACAGGGTTTCTCTGTGTAGTCCTGGCCGTCCTGGAACTCACTCTGTAGACCAGGCTGGCCTCGAACTCAGAAATTCACCTGCCTCTGCCTCCCAGTTGCTGGGAATTAAAGGCCTGCGCCACCACTGCCTGGCTTTTTTTTTTTTTTTTTTTGCCTTTTTGCCTTTTTGCGTTTTAAAACATGTTTTCAAAACGTGAACAAGGCTGGCTTGCAACTCACTGTGTAGCTCTGGCTGGCCTTGAACTCAAGATTTGCCTGCCTCTGCCTTTAAGTGGTAATGGGAAAGGCATATTGCAACCATGCCTGGCCTACATTTTTTTTTTTTTTAAAGATTTATTTATTTTATTTTATTTTATTTATGAGTACACTGTAGCTGTCTTCAGACACACCAGAAGAGGGCATCCAATCTCATTACGGATGGTTGTGAGCCACCATGTGGTTGCTGGGATTTGAACTCAGGACCTCTGGAAGAGCAGTCAGTGCTCTTAACCGCTGAGCCATCTCTCCAGACCCTGACCTACATTTTTTTTTTTTTTTTAAAGACAGAAATCCAAACTTATTTCAGAGAATTAAAAAATATAGAAAAATTGGAAGTTACCCATAATCCTTTAATATAGATAAAGTGTTTTTAAAAACTAAAACTTAGATCATTTTAACTATTCAGTTTCCTAAGTGCTGGGTTACAGGCAGGTGCCACCGCACCAGGCTGAAAACAGACCTTTTGATGGCTTGATGGTACTCCTTGTTCCTGTGTATATTGTACCTTAGGTAATATCTGCCCCATTATTAAGAATGTTTCCAGCTGGTGGTGGCAGCGGCTGCAGCACATGCCTCTAATCCCAGCACTGGGGAGGTATAGGTAGGCACTGATTTCTTGGAGTTTGAGGCCAGCAGTTGGGTCTACAGAGTAAGTTCTAGGACAACCAAGGCTACACAGAGAAATCTGTCTCTTTAATTAAAAAAAAAAAAAAATCAAAACCCGTTTTCTTCTTTATTTTACATCCCTAGACCACTACACTGAACATGGTATCAGTCACTGATGGGGTCTTGTATCTTGGCTGGCTTCCTAAAAAGGAGTGCTCCAGAAGTGTTGTGATCTTCTCTTTTAAGCTGTGCTCCCTGCAATGTGGAGGACTATCTTATAGCATTTCCACTAAGATTATCTTCTAAAATCTTATGGCAGGGTATGGTGGCCCACACCTATCATATCAGCATGTGGGAGGCAGAAGCAAAAAGACTGACATGAGTTAGCGGCCAACTTGGGTCATATAACAAGATGCCCAAGTCAAAGCAAAACAAAATTCTTTGCCAATTTCATAGGAGGGAAACGACTGCTAATTTTTATATGCATGTCATTTCTTGGCAAGAAGAGTACACTTTAAATTTTTTACATTAATTTTATTATTAAAAGTATTTGAGGGGGCTAGAGAGATGGCTCAGGGACTAAGAGCAACCCGTGATCTGTGATTGGAACCCATGTCCTCTTCTGGTGTGTCTGAAGACAGCTATGGTATACTATATAAACTAAAAAAAAAAAGTATTTGATTTTTTAAAAATGTATGTGTGTGTGCCTTGTGCTTTCAGGAGCATGGAGGTCAGAAGAAGGGTCAGATTTTCTAGACCTAGAGTTACAGGCAGTTATGAGGCACCATCTGGGTGCTGAAAAGAAAACCGGGGTCTTCCAAAACGGCAGTGAGTGCTCTTAACCACTGAGCCATTGCTCCAGCCACTGTTTTGATGGTGTGTGCTGTTGTGTCAGAGGACATGAAAGTTGATTATCTTAATTATGGGTGGGTGGAGCCATCAGGCTTGCCAGTGAGCATCTCTCCCTGATGAGCCACACTGTCACTGGTCCTGAAGAGCCACTTTTAGCACTTAATTTCTCTTCTGTAAATGATCTGTTGGTACACTTTATTTCTCTGTGTATGTTAGTAACTTTTACCAGCTACTTATATCCTAAAAGTGCTATTTTTGATATTCATTGATATCTATATTTTTTGCTTGTTTTAGAGAGGGTTTCACTCTGTAGTTCTGGCTGGCCTCTGCCTCCCCAGTGTTGGGACTCAAGGTGTGCACCACCACACTCAGTGAGTCAGTCTGTGTGTGTGTGTGTGTGTGTGTGTGTCTGTGTGTGTCTGTCTGTCTGTGTGTCTCTCTCTCTCATTTTTAATTTTTTATATCTCTATTTTTACTGTGTAAATGTTTTGCCTGCATGTGTGTGGATCTGTTTGCCACGTGTAAGCTTGGTCTCTGTGGGAGTTAGAAGAGGGGCCAGACACTCTGGAACAGGAGGCATCTGTGGGTCACTGTGTGGGTACTAATCCTTTTGACGGGGTCACCTTCCCGTCCTGCTGATCTGAGTCTGCCTTTCCATCAACCTTGCGGCTTGAGTTAGAACCTGGCTCTTTCAAACAGGACAAGAGTAAGTCCCCTTCCCTTGTAGATAATGGAAGATAGAGGCTTGGTGTAAAGCTGCTGTTCCACACTGAGGTGCCCTGTGATGGACCAATCGGCCCAGCCCCTCCTCACCTGAACCTTCAGCTCCAGCTCCCTGATCTGCTCCTCCTTCACCTTCATGTCCACTGTGAGCTTCTTGCCCTCAGCTTCCAGCTCTCTGATCCGACTCCGTAAGGTCTCGGTGCACTCGCCCCTTGTGAGAAAAAAAAAAAAAAAGACAGGAAATAAGGTCTATAGTTCCCCTTCTATCATGGGAGATTGGTTTGAAGACCACTGTGGAAACAATCTGCATATGCTCAAATTCCTCAGATAAAATAGCAGCTTTTGCACAGACTACCTAAAGCCATCTCTAAATCACTAATAGGCTGTCATGCTGTGGTAGTTTAGGGACTGATAACAAGAACCGAGTGTGGATGTTCAGCAGTTATAATTTAGATTTTCAAATGTCCCCCCCCCCCGCCCTTTTTAGGTTTCAAGAAAGGGCTTTTCTCTGTAGCCCTGGTGTCCTGGAACTCACTCTGTAGACCAGGATGGCTTCAACTCAGAAATCCACCTGCCTCTACCTCCTGAGTGCTGGGATTAAAGGCGTGCGCCACCACCGCCACCACCACCACCACCCAGCTTCATTTAGCTCTTCTGAGACAGATTCTTAATATGTAGCACAGGCTGGCCTTTGACCCTGCAATCCTTCTGTCTCGGCCTCTTGTTATCATCATACCTTACCACATCCAGCTTTCAAATACTTCCTGTAGTTGGTTCCATCTGCAGAGCTGACGCACGGGCACAGTGTGCTTACTGCACGGGTTACACATTCTTATATTCTAGGGTCTGCCTGATTTTAACATTTGTCTCAATGTGATTCTCACTATTTGAAAATTTCAACGATGATTTAAAATTTGTTTGTTGCCGGGCGGTGGTGGCGCACGCCTTTAATCCCAGCACTTGGGAGGCAGAGGCAGGCGGATTTCTGAGTTCGAGAGTTCGATGCTAGCCTGGTCTACAGAGTGAGTTCCAGGACAGCCAGGGCTACACAGAGAAACCCTGTCTAGAAAAACCAAAACCAAAATAAATAAATAAATAAATAAATAAAAATAAATTTAAAAAAAATTAAAAAAAAATTGTTTGTTTTGAGACAAGGTCTCTTTATGTAACACTAGTTGACCTGGAACTCCATTCAGACCAGGCTGGTCTTAAATTTTCAGAGATCTGCCTGCCTCTGTCACCTGACTGCTGGGATTAAAGGCATGGCCACCATGCCCAGCTATTTTTAAATTTGTATTTTGTCTGTGTGCTATAGAGGCTAGCGGTCAACCTCAGGTGCTCTCCTCAAGGGCCACCCATCTTGTTTTTTGAGACAGCATTTCTGGGAAGCTGGTCAGTGAGTCCCAGGAATCTGCTAGTACTGGACTCCCCAGGGCTAGGATTACAAATGTACTCTACCACACCTGTTTTTTTACACGAGTGCTGGGCACTACCAGGTCCAGTTTTTTTTACACAGGGACTCAACTCAGGTCCTTATGTTCACACTTTAAGCACTGTGCCAACTGAGCTATCTTCTTCAGACCTCTAAAATAATCAGGAGTTGGGGCTAGAGAAATGGCTCAGTAGTTAAGACCACTAACTGCTCGTCCAAAGGTTCTGAGTTTAATTCCCAGCAACCACATGGTGGCTCGCAACCATCTGTGATGGGATCTGCTACTCTCTTTTGGTGTATCTGAAGAAAGCTACAGTGTACTCACATACATAAAATAAAATCTTTAAAACAATAAATCATCATCATCATCATCAGGGGTTGAGGAGATGGCTTAGCAGTAAGAGAACTTGGTTCCCAGAACCGCCATGAAAGCTGTCAACCCGCCATCGCTCCAGTCCAGGATCTTCAATGCCTTCTTGTTTCCACGGTTACTGCACACATGGTGCACAGAGACGCAGATGCAAGCAAAACAATGATGATTCTAAAATTAAATAAACTGACCTAAAAAAATTTTTAAAGACCCTTAAGACCACCCACATCTGTGGTGGAAGTGCTGATAGCTTTGTGAGGACTGACTGCAGAGGGAGATCTCACAGTACTTAGTGACCACACAGACGTAAGAGGAGAACAGTGCTCTCTTCTTCTGCCCTAAGGGTGAGGTCACTGAGAGACGAAATATTACAGGGCAGTGTGAGCTGGCTCAGGTGGAGCTGAAACAACTAGTGAATAACCCAGAAAAGCAAACCATCCACATACACCGTTCTGTTCCATCCCTCCCAGGCATCGAATCCTCACACCCATCCTGGGACAAGGAAAGCCAACCATGACCAAACACTAGTGACAGGACATACCTAGATGCAGCAGCAAAGGCAACAGCCCGTGCAGCTGTGGCTTCTTCTAACTTCTTCCTTTTTTTCTCCTCCATTAGCTGCTTTTCTACAAAGCTCCGGGCTTCCTGCTCAGCTTTTAGCTTCTTCTCCAGCTGGCTGATATTCTGCTTGTCTTTTTGCTTCATTTGCACAGCATTGTGTAACCTATATGGAAATAGTTGGGACAAGGAATCTTCCATTAGACAGATTCACTATAAGCCCTGAGAAACACAGCCTTCACGCAGCCTTTCTGTTAGGCAGGTGTAAATAGGAGGTTCGAACAGCCAAGTATTAACTTCTGGTGTGCCAGAGAAAACACATGGTCATTACTACTTAATGGTTCCTAAACACTAACAAGCTACCTGCTTTATGTAACTCAGAGTCAGCACTGATCTCTGTTCTGTTAAGTGATTCACAGCAGGCAGGCTAAAGACATGGGTCAGAGAGCTAAGGCAGGGTAGAAGGTAACTGTAGAGTTAGTTCTAGTGCCCTAGAACACTGAAAAAAAACAGACCAAAGAACCACTGACTGGACCAGTCCCACTGAATCTAAAATTGAATCTAAGGGGAAGGTGTATGTTCCTCTTTTTTTCAGTTGTTTTCTTAGCCAAGGTCTCACCATGTAGCTTAGGGTGTCCTTGAACTTGTGACAATTTCCTTGGCTTAGCCTCTGCTACACTGGGCTTCTGAATCACAGCCATGCTGTGGCCTTTCCTTCTCTCATAGCCCTAAGTTCTCTACAGCTTGACAGAGCAAGGTGAAGGGAGCCAGCCATCAGACTGTCCTGCAGTGGCCAACGCTAACACCTGCACAAGCTGCTCATACTGATGGCCAGGGTTCTTGCATATTGTTACATGTAGTACAGTTAACTCCTGGAACTGTAAGTGAGACTCTTCTTTGTGGGGAAGCCTGTGAGAGGCCATCACTACCACAGACATAGACTGTTTAGAGACTAAAAAAGACAACTTTACCTTAGTCAGCAGCTAACTCCAGAACAAATTTAAAAAGTTTAAAGGAATTCATACAGAAGAGCCATCTTCTGCCTATCTTTTCAAACAAAACCAAAGCTCAATGTCATTTTTTAGTTCTGAGATTCAAAGTAAGTATGGCTTAATCCTCAGGAAAAGATCACAATTTTCAAAGAGTTGCAAAACTCCTTATCAATGTTACTTACCACAAAAGCTTAGTAACGAATATTATAGTTAAACTATATTATTACAGCAAAGATAATATTACTAAACTCTTGTTGGAATGAAGCAAGTACAGATTTGATGAGAACATGGAGAGTCAAACATCAATGAATAGGAAGGTTGGGCCATGTCTCCTGGTCAGCCTGAGACTGTCTGTCCTCCTCTGGTAACAGGAGGCACTGCCCAAGACCCCTAAGGTGCACGTACTTGTTCTGCAGCAGCTCGTTCTCCTGCCGGAGCTGGCCCATTTCTGAGCGGATCCCTCTTTCTGTGCTTGAGAGGGAGCTGATCTGACTGCGCAGCTCCTGCTCCACTTGCCGGCTGGCTTGCAGGTCAGCCTTTAGCTTTTTAATGTCTTGTTCCAGCCTAGGAAAGGCAGAAAGGGAGCATTTTCATCGGGGAGAGGCCTTAGGGCTTGGCAACAGCCCCCACTGGAGAACTGTAATGTGTTCAGTTCTATGGCATGACTGCCTTCACAGGAGGGCTAACTTTTGATTGTCCCCAGTGTCTGTGACACTACAAGTACCTACCTGAATTGTGTATAAAGGAGAGAAAAACAGAAGAGCTAAACATTAAAGTACCCTCCCCACTGCTGACTTTCTCAGCAAGTAAAGCCTGCCAAAGCAACAAACTTAGGACCCAGCCACTGACTTTTCTTTTTCACACTTCCCTAGATCAGACTGCACTGCCCCCTTCCCCCACATTGTGAGCTACCAGAAAACAGGCTCTCTGTCCATTTCTGGGAACTGCTACCATCCTTGCTAAGTAACATTCACATGTTTGGTATGGCAAAAGAGCTCATCAAGGCTCAAAAAAGGGAGACTAAGACAACTCTGAGCTAAAACCTAGCTCACTGTGCCATTCCTTACTGCCTGCTCCATCTAGCCCATAATAACGGCAGTTTAAGTGATGTGCACAGGGAGTCTATACATAAACAAACAGGAACAGGAACAAAAGTGCAAAATCAAATCTCTTCTTCACAGGAAGGCTCTACAATTTCAATAGGGGCCAATAACTGGATGACTAAAATAATTAGTAACACAAGAAAGACTACAATTAAACACATACTAGGAAGAGAAACAGCCGCGGCCACTCCTCAGTGACTGGATGAACTGTTATAGCAATGTGAACTATTAAATCAGCAGAACTAAGGGCCAATTGCAATGATTCTTCCTATTTTTCCCAGAAGAAGAAATAAGGGTTAAGAAAATCTTGCAGCCCACAATCCCCAGGCAGAATCCCCAGGATCCACTCTCTTCCCCATCAGCCCACCCTCAGCACAGCAATCTGGGGAAGGCTATGCAGAGGATGGGAAGCAGGGAAGGAGGAGGGTCCTAAAGGAGGAGTCTGACACACTTAAAACCTCAAAGGCATGAGCAGCCACAGTACTTGGACCAGTCCTCAGTTTGGCGCCTGAGGAAGACTGTACTAGAAACAGTGGGAATGGGGCTGCTGGACCTTGACAGCAGAGCTAAAAAAGAGCAGGCCGAGGACATACACTACAAGTGAAGCCCTGAGAAGACAGCTTCTCTACAAGACACAAATAGCCAGATGAGCAAACCTCAGTCTGCTTGAGTTTCTGTGTGCAGAAACCCCATCCCCCCAGGTGTAAAGGACAACTCAGCTCATTCTAAGCCACACTTAACCTCTAACACCCCCCCCACACACACACCTGCAGCCTGAGGAAACTCTTCAGTGCCTCCAGTACAGCATACTGATAGAAGCAGGCTTCTAGAGGGCAATGCAGATATCTCTTTGGAACTGTCAGATCCACAGACTAAAGTTCATAATGTTTTATTATGTACAAAGTCCTCAGGGCCTACTACAGAAATCAATACTCACTCAGCAATGTTCCCTGGCCTCTTAGAGAAAGCCAAATGCTTTCATCCCCTGTCTACCATTAGATAACTTTAAAACAAGCCTCGAGCCTCCAGTCATGCTGGAGGTGCTGTCACCAGTGTTCCCTTCCAGTGTGAAAGCACAGCCTAGAGATTGAGTTGCAGTAGCACTGCTTGGTCTCTTGCCAGGGCTCACTCCCTAGGGAAGGGTCACAGGTCCCCATCACACCACACTGTCCCTATTGGCAGGGTCAGTTCAGTTCAGCGTACTCGCAGGTCGGCATTTAGATCAGAGCTATGCTGCTCTTCATTCACCTGAAGTAACCCAAGGGCTGCACTCCAATAGGCTGCACAGGGTTCATCCCCTTAACACGTACATGCTCATGTTCACACCTCTTGTGAAGCCAGCCTCTCAGAAGAAGAACTGCAGGTTTAGTGAAAGGGCAGGCTCCTCCATGAGGACAGAGGCATGCAGCCTGGTAGAGGCTCTGTCATCAGGGTTCCAAGCAGTCCTGGGGCCAGCTCTGCACACAGCCGTGCAGTTTCCTCTTCTGCAGCTGACCATCTCGAAAGTTCCTCCCACTTGCTCTAGGATTTCAAGGCCTGACACACAAATGGCTGACTGGCTTCTGACCAGCAGCTTAAGCTGCATCAGATGCAGACAAGGAACCTGGTTCCACTGCACAAGCAACCAGCATAGCTAACTGCCACAGAAGAAGGACAAGCCCCTTCTTTCAGATGATACATTTCAGTAATTTTGTAGTTATCACTTTCGTTCATTTTAAAAATCTTCTGTTTTGTTTTTGGTTTTGTTGGTAGTGGTCATGGTTTTGCGTTTGTTTTTTTGAGACAGGGTTTCTCTGTGTAGCCCTGGCTGTCCTGTAACTCCCTCTGTAGATTAGGCTGGCCTCGAACTCAAGAGATCTACCTGCCTGTCTCCTTAGTGCTGGGATTAAAGGCGTATACCACCACTGCCTGGCTTCCGGACTTTCATTTAAGTGACATGTTTCTCTGACACAATGAATGACCATATTAGCTGGGCTTTCAATATACGCACTGAATCCCAGCAGTCAGGAGACATAGTCAAGGGAGGCTTCAAGTTTCAAGTTTCAAGTCAGTCTGCTTTACAAAGCAAGTCCAGGACATCCAGAACTCTGTTATACAGAGAAACCGTGTTTCAAAAAACAGTATTTACGCCGGGAAGTGGTGACGCACACCTTTAATCCCAGCACTTGGGAGGCAGAGGCAGGCGGATTTCTGAGTTCAAGGCCAGCCTGGTCTACAGAGTGAGTTCCAGGACAGCCAGGGCTACACAGAGAAACCCTGTCTCGAAAAGCAAACAAAACAAAACAAAAAACTAAAAACAAAAAAACAGTATTTACTCTGAGTAAAGTTTTAGAATTTATGAAATTTGCAATAATCTAAACAGTTTTGAGAACAAAAGGTACAAACATAATTTTTTTAAAACACAGAACACAATGCTTTAAAAAGTTTGTTTCCACTTATCTGTTTAGTGTATACGTTTCCATGTGTGCACACATGTAGAGGTCAGAGGACACGTTTTGAGAATAGGCTCTCTCTTCTTCCACAGTATGAAATCAACTACTTCAAGTCACCAGGCTTGGCAGCAAGTGCCTTTTCCCTCTGAGCCATCTCCCTGGTCTCCCACAATGCTTTTTAGAAGTGGAATTCTGGGGGCTGGAGAGATGGCTCAGCAGTTAAGAACACTGACTGCTCTTCCAGAGGTTCTAACTTCAATTCTCAGCAACCACATGGTGGCTCACAACCATCTGTAATGGGATTCAATGCCCTCTTCTGGTGTGTGTCTGAAGACAGAGACAGTGCACTCATATATATAAAACAAATAATTCTTTTTAAAAAAAAAAAAAAAGAAGTGGAATTCTCTGAAAATATTGTCAAAGCCAAACCAGCAGTACTATACAACAAAAAGAAGGAAGTTACAAAAAATATTGTTTCAAGTATACTTCTTCAGAAGTATACATCTAAGATCTATATAGTCTAGTGTGTACATGCTCAGAGGCATCCATCCACGATCCGTATACTCTAGTGTGGATATGTCACATAGCAGCTGAAAACTGCTTGCTTTGGCTATTGGGGTTGAATCCGGAGCTTCCCGCATACTAGATTCTCCCACTGAGCTACGTTTCTAGCCCTGGAAACAGTTTCATTTACCCTCCTCCTTTCTCTTTCTCTAGCCCAGACAGGGTCTTACTACATACCCCTGGGTAGCCTGAAACTTAACATATAGAGCAGGTTGGCCTCAGAGATCCACACACTTCTGACTCTAGAGAAATGGTTTGTTTTGAAAATACAAAATAATTTGTTCTTTCATAAAAAACAGGACTAAAATGCTTCAGGCTTTTCCTAATTACTGTCATTAGCTCCACCAACTCTTTTTTGTTTGTTTGTTTTTTTCAAGACGGTGTTCCTCTGTGTAGCCCTGGCTGTCCTGGAACTCACTCTGCAGACCAGGCTGGTCTCGAACTCTCAAACTCAGAAATCCGCCTGCCTCTGCCTCCCAAGTGCTGGGATTAAAGGCGTGCTCCACCACCGCCCAGCTGCTCCACCAACTCTTAATGACTGCTTTCCAAACTGTGACAGTTACGATCAGTGACCGTGCCTGAGAAACCTTGGGCTTCAGGATCGTTACCTAATGACGTCAGCTGAGTGTGCTAAGAGAAATTCTCAGCAACCTCAGAAATTTATAATCTAAGCATTTTGCCGGGCAGTGGTGGTGCAAGCCTTTAATCCCAGCACTTGGGAGGCAGAGGCAGGTGGATTTCTAAGTTCGAGGCCAGCCTGGTCTACAGAGTGAGTTCCAGAACAGCCAGGCTACACAGAGAAACCCTGTCTCTAAAAAAAAAAAAAAAAAAAAGAAAGAAAGAAAAGAAAGAAAGAAAGAAAGAAAGAAAGAAAGAAAGAAAGAAAGAAAAGAAAGGAAAAAAGGAATGAAATCCACTCAGCATTAAAAAAAAACCTGGGTGGTGGTGGCGCACGCCTTTAGTCCCAGCACTTGGGAGGCAGAGGCAGGCGGATTTCTGAGTTCGAGGCCAGCCTGGTCTACAGAGTGAGTTCCAGGACAGCCAGGGCTACACAGAGAAACCCTGTCTCGAAAAAAATAAAAAATAAAAAAATAAAAAAATACAAAACTAAAAAAAAAAAAAACCTAACAAAAAAATTTCAAACTGTAAACAACTCACATGCCTCTCATTTAGGCTCAATCAAATCACATTCAGCTTGCATGTGGTATACTTCTTTCCCACTTTTTCCACACATGTAACTCCTTTTATCATGAAGAGGGGGTAACACATATACAGCCTGCATATCAGATGCACTTTCACCTACTCACAGACATTTTCCTTGAACTACGGCACTGTTCTTCACTATACGGCGCTAGCAAGACGGGTGAAGGCACTTTCTATAACCGACACCATGAAAGGAGAGAACCACTCTAGAAGTTACCCTCTTCCCCCACACGTCGTACCACATGCACATTCCCTCACACAC